GTGCTATATTTATGAAGGTATGAGGGGCCCAGGGGGCTAGATGGTGGTTTTAACACTATAGGGTCAGGAATACATGTTATAGGGTCAGGAATACATGTTTGTGTTCCTGACCATATAGTGCTCCTTTAAGAAGGCTTATTTTGAAAAAAATTATTACAAGACACCCGAGGTGAAGACGTTTGGCAAAAGTGTTTCAAGTGTTTTACTAGAAAATTATATATAAAAAAAAAAGGTTTAGTTCAGCATTTGGATTTAGAATTAAGAATTAATATTAAGAAGAATTGAAGCCGTGACTCTTTCCAGTGCATATGTAATGAGTCTGATTTTTTTATGTACACAATGTGATGGATATAATGATTAGAGTGTGCAGGTTACTATGTATACCATGTGATGGATAGAATGATTAGAGTGCACAGGTTACTATGTATACAATGTGATGGATAGAATGATTAGAGTGTGCAGGTTACAATGTATGCCATGTGATGGATAGAATGATTAGAGTGTGCAGGTTACTATGTATGCCACGTGATGGATAGAATGATTAGAATGTGCAGGTTACAATGTATACCATGCGATGGATAGAATGATTAGAGTGTGCAGGTTACAATGTATACCATGCGATGGATAGAATGATTAGAGTGCACATGTTACCATGTATACAACGTGATGGATAAAATGATTAGAGTGCACAGGTTACAATGTATACAGTGTGAAGGACAGAATGAATAGAGTGTGCAGGTTACTATGTATGCCACGTGATGGATAGAATGATTAGAGTGTGCAGGTTACTATGTATACCGTGTGATGGATAGAATGATTAGTGTGCAGGTTACAATGTATACCATGTGATGGGTAGAATGATTAGAGTGTGCAGGTTACAATGTATACCATGTGATGGATAGAATGATTAGAGTGCGCAGGTTACCATATTTACAATGTGATGGATAAAATGATTAGAATGTGCAGGTTACAATGTATACAATGTGATGGATAGAATGATTAGAGTGTGCAGGTTACAATGTATGCCATGTGATGGATAGAATGATTGGTGTGCAGGTTACAATGTATACCATGTGATGGATAGAATGATTAGAGTGTGCAGGTTACAATGTATACCAAGTGATGGATAGAATGATTAGAGTGCGCAGGTTACCTTGTTTACAATGTGATGGATAGAATGATTAGAGAAATCTGCACTTTTTTTGTAAAATGTAAGAAAGAGGACACACCCTTCGCACGTAAATTATTTCAGAAAGTATTTCAGAAAGCTAAAGTGCTTTAGGTATCTGGAGCGTCCCTTTGAGATGTCTGATTTATATCCCGTATACTCCTCCTTGGGACCTGACGTTATGTTTACTGCCAATAGAGGGTGCACTTATTCATGCTTTCGATATATCATTGTCTCATGTTTTACACTTTGCAAAGCAGCGAGTTAACCAACTGTTAGCAAACTTCTGTAACTGGGGCTGAAGGTGTTTCCTCGCAGAATGTTAAGTTCATATAATTTCTGTGTGGAATTAATTAATTATTCATGGCTGGTGCCACAGGTGTACTCAATGGCTGTGTGACATGCCCTGCCTGATCTCTGCGGGCAAGGTTTGGGTTAGTTGTTATGGTACCTGTACGTGACCTGTTGTGCCCATCATTTATGGCAAGGCTGGATTTTCCGGCATTTATATAGGAAGGCGCCAACATGATACAATAATAAAACGCATCCTGTCACTATCCCATCGTGTTATTTGGTGTGGGTCGGAAGATCTATGACCAGCTGTTGATGGACTTCCACCCCCATCATTCTGTGCTAACATTTGACCTATCACAGTGTAGAAGTGTGGCCAAAAGCTAGACCCCCTGCTGTTGTAGACCTGGTCTAAAAAACTCAACATGAAATTTTGAACAAAACGTTTTTTTTTTTGTTTTTTTTTACATTTATTGTACTTTGACGACGTTTCCATGAGTTTGATATCTGTGAAGCTCTATTATACACTCATGCACACCAAATATACTGAGCTGCAAAAAAAAATGTTATATTGGAATAGAAAATAGAGACAGAGGGTTGGGGGTCCAAATAGGGACTGTCCCTCCAAAACAGGGGAACTTGGTAGGTATGCATTGACACAATACCCACTTCTAAATAATCCCAATCATTAAACGCAAAGGCACACTCCAGAATCGTTTTAAACGTGTGTCTGTAACACCCCAGTGTAGACCTTACCCAATGAAGCCTGCAGGAGGTGTATTTTGTAAGGTCCATACTAAAATAGTATTACCGCAAACCTACTGCCAACATTTGACCCCGGTATTAGTAAAACCATTGATTTCTATGTGTTGTGGTTTGCCAGAAATGTCTTCTAGAAAACAGCGGCTGGTGGGGGCCACATGAATGCACATTAAATACTATATAAATCATTCCCCACAAACTAATGATACACAAGTGACAAGACAGGACAGTTCTGCTCCAATGCCTTGACAGGCGAATAATAACTGCTATTAGTGTCTCTCTGAGAGCTTAGTTTACTGATTCTATGACAGTTACATTGTGTCGCTCTGTCCAACCTGTGCCATGCTGTCAGAGTACCAAAAAGGTTAATTAACCCCGCCAGAACCACTGACATGGCCTTTACTGGTACTGAGGGGTTAAATAAAGGAATAACAAAGAATGAAAATGGGATAAATGGAAATATCTTTTACAAACGTATAGCGCCCACCTCACCAAATGCTCTATTTACTGAGAGCATCCATCTTTAAAAACAGACTTGGGAAGATAATTCGAAGAAAAAAGGAGGGACAAATAATGAAGCATATACAGAGTTAAAATGTACAACAGGACACAAGGCTTAGTTATTTGGAGAAATAAAAATACTAACTATGGCCTTGATTTAATATTTTTAGGTAAGCTTTCAAATGATTTAATATTATTAAAAATTAAGTTATTAACTAAAATATAAATGATGGGAAATATTAAATTGCATTTAAGATTTTAACCTAATTGTCTGTTTTTACAATTCTCCAATTTTCTTTTTTTAAGTAGGCAAGTTCCTCAATTCTCTACAATTCCCAGTTTAGTAAATAACACTGCAGACGTTTTTAAGGAACTAAAACTCCATTTGAAAAATGTCAACTAATTTTATCCAAATTCATCATTTGTTCTAGTGTCGGATTTCGACCCCAGTGATGGGTGATGTGAGCGCTCAGTCTGTGTACAATCGTTAGACCTGACATTCTGATACATTAAAACAACTCTCCGTGCCAGAGGGAGTTATTGATCCCTGTCGAGAGACAGCTCTATTTAAAAATGTCTGTTTTCACCCAAAATGCACTTAGTAAAGCAAACCGACAAAACCTCACGTACAATCACCTGAGCAAAATACCAAGTGAAGCCGATAAACTGAACTCCTACAAATAGCCTCTGGTAAGATGTATTTGATACGGATGATGGATATCTCACTGTATCTCGCTGGATATTTCTCATTATGAAGCTTCTAAGCGTCTGCATCTCAGAAAACACAAGCATGGAAGCGGTTGATTAATTTAACCCTTTAATAGTTCACGATTAAGATGTTTTTGTGGCTCAGCATTTCTGGAATAAGATGGTAATGTTAATGTCTTTCAAACCTTTCCGGACTTAAAGCTATTTTTATTTAAATTTGTGTGAACCTGAGAATCAGCTCTTTCATTCTGAGACCCTGAGAATCTGCCTTTTCACCCCGGGGATCTGCCCATTCACCCTAACAATCTGCACATTCACCCTGAGAATCTGCACATTCACCCTGAGAATCTGCCCGTTAACCCTGAGAATCTGCAATTCACCCTGAGAAACTGCTCATTCACACTAAAAATATGTCCCTTCACCTAGAGGCATTGTGAATTAACCCACTCACCCATGAAAAATATGCCATGCCCAACTCATCCTGAGAATCTGCCCATTCACACAGACACTGCAAGAATCTGCCTATTCATTCTCATACTCTACTAATTAATCCCGAGAATCTGACTGAGAATCTGTCCATTAACCCTGAGACTCTGACTGAGAATCTGTCCATTAACGCTGAGATTCTGAGAATCTGTCCATTAACCCTGAGACTCGGACTCTGACAATCTGTCCATTAACCCTGAGACTCGGACTCTTACAATCTGTCCGTTAACCCTGACACTCGGACTCTCACAATCTGTCCGTTAACCCTGAGACTCGGACTCTGACAATCTGTCCGTTAACCCTGAGACTCGGACTCTGACAATCTGTCCGTTAACCCTGAGACTCGGACTCTGACAATATGTCCATTAACCCTGGGATTCTGAGGATCTGTCCATTTACTCTGAGACTCTGAGAATCTGTCCATTTACCCTGAGACTCTGACTGAGAATCTGTCCATTTACCCTGAGACTCTGACTGAGAATCTGTCCATTTACCCTGAGACTCTGACTGAGAATCTGTCCATTTACCCTGAGACTCTGACTCTGTCCAGACTCGGACTCTGACAATCTGTCCATGCCCCTTGGATACCCTGGGCAGCAGCACATTCAGTCATTACTGTACAAAATGTATTGAAATGTATTTAAATCAGTTCTAGAAATAGGAAATATGTGTCCTTATAGTCTCCAAGCGTGAATATAATAATTTGGCTGGCAGGTGATAACGATGCTCTAAGTTATATAATGCTATATTTATACAGTATAAGACGCAAGCAGACGCAAGGTGTAAATTATTACATGTGATGGGTAACTAAACTCTTAACCTTTCAACAGAAATTTCTGAATTTCACAAAATATTTTCATTACAGGAGAATCATCCATGTAAAGTGTGATCTCCACCGGGAAAGCGCAATTCACCTAAAATATGAATCCGGTTAAATGCTCCATTAACTGACAGTTATGGTAATTACTGGGAATGAGGGGTGAAGGTGTCTGGAGCCGAGGGAGAGCGGGCGCAATAATTGGACGCAGTTATTGTAAGTCTGATACAGCAGAGAATTACCCGGAGTGGTGATGGTGGAGTGGGGGGAGAAGGCATCGTATGAATATTCTGTGTGATTTCCACCTAATTAATCCATCTCGATGGTCAGTGTCACTCACAGTTTCTATAATTCTATGACAGCCAGCAGAATTTAGGGAAATACTATCCAAAGGGACATCTGGACATCTCTGGCTTAACCCTTACTGTTCTAGAGCCTCTAAAATGAAAATGCCCAAAACGCCTAGTTTTTTAGGAGCATGAATTAGATCCACTCATTGATGACTGTCTCTGGCCTACGACTCAGAGAATCAACATGTTTTGCTGTGCTTGCTAGGAAATCTGAACTACTGAAGATATTGGCGTCATTTATGCCAGTGTCTGCTTAGAACTATCTAGACTTTGGTGAAAAATCTCCAGAGGGAATTCAGCTCTCTAGCCTTAAAGGTACACGCATCATCGGGTGTACACTCAGAGAAAACTATCATCTAAACTGTGCTTACATTTTTTTTTTTTTTAAATGCATGTTTTTTTCATTATATTTCGTTACACAGTGATAGCTATGATTTCCTCTTCAAAACTGTTATTGTTGTTATTATAAAAATGATAATAATATCAAACTTATACAAAGTGTATATAGAAAACTGAGCAGTGAGGTCATCAGGCAAGTACAAGCCTCACACCTGCCCATGGTTAAAGGACCACTCTAGGCACCCAGACCACTTCAGCTTAATGAAGTGGTCTGGGTGCCAGGTCCTTCTAGGGTTAACCCATTTTTTCATAATTATAGCAGTTTCAGAGAAACTGCTATAATTATGAATGGGTTAAGCCTTCCCCCTAATCCTCTAGTGGCTCTCATTGACAGCCACTAGAGGCGCTTGCGTGCTTCTCACTGTGAAAATCACAGTGAGAGCACGCCAGCGTCCATAGGAAAGCATTGTAAATGCTTTCCTATGCGACGGGCTGAATGCGCGCGCAGCTCTTGCTGCGCATGCGCATTCAGCCGGCGGGGCGTAACGGAGGCGGAGAGGAGGAGGAGAGCTCCCCGCCCAGCGCTGGAAAAAGGTAAGTTTTTACCCCTTTCCCCCTTCCAGACCCGGGCGGGAGGGGGTCCCTGAGGGTGGGGGCACCCTCAGGGCACTATAGTGCCAGGAAAACGAGTATGTTTTCCTGGCACTATAGTGGTCCTTTAAAGAGGGATTTTTAATATTTTAATTATCCCTCATATTCAAGAAATATGTGTCTGTGAAAAATGGAAATATAGTTAAAATGTAGAAATCCAAACCTCTTTATCCTGCAACTGGGCGCCTCCATCTTAGCTCCCTGTCAATCATTGTTATAAGCTCCCCCCTTTACACCTGTCAGTCAGTATGGAGAGCAGACAGAGAGGGAAGAAATGAAACAATGTTTCTATTTCTCCTCTTTGTTTGTGCCCTGTCTGTGCCAGGACTGAACTGGATTAAAAGGTCATTGCTAAATCTTTAATTTACCGTCCATATAATAGAAAATGAAGCATGGCATGAAAAAAGGCTAAGACAAGTTTTAGATGATTTTTAATGTTTTTATGTTTAATTGTGTAATTTCCAAACTAGTGATGGATTCCCTTTAAGATCCTTAGAGAGAGAATGTTACGAGATTTGACACAGCTCTGTTTACAGCAAACCATAAATTTAATGCAAGAGACTGTACGGTTCATGGGGGAGACTAACGTGGATGTTCTGTGCAGTATGATCATGAAAGAAAGTTGTTGCTCGTAATATAAACGACTTCAGAAACAGTCTGCTTTGCACCCTAAAGTGATCTCAGAGCTTGCAATCTAATCCCCATTCTCTCCTCCAGGTAAAGAAACCGGTGAATATGATCGTACCCAGCTGTTAAACAGCCGTTATAAGGTTTAATGTGTAGAAATACTCAATCCTGCTAAATGTACTGAGCTGGGAAAAATGAAACTCTGAGCTGAAATACACACGGGTTAATCTGCAGACATGAATCCAAACACCGACGTGACTCATTCTTCGAGATAACCAGAGATATTAAATAGACATTGAGATGGTATTTCCTAGGTTTTGGCTGTACTTTGAAATTTCGTTATCTCAGCAAGCCTTGCACACTGAACTATGGACTAAACGGATATCAAGATTATCCCAGCTATTCACTGAAGTGAGAATTCAAGGTGAAAATTCAAATTTAAGGTCAAAGTAGTCAAACTGCAAACATTCTCTACATCAGCCATGCTTTGATTTTAGCCACTCTGGATTTAAATTTGAAATTAACTTTGAATTCTTACTGTGGTGAATAAACCTTTAAGCAATCATTTGCCTTGGCCAAAAGCTGGATACATTGGCTACAAAGATCCATACAGCAAGCCACGGGTCAATGTAGCTTCCCGACACCTCTACACCCACCAGGCTATGTAATACTCAACGAAATGCTGTGGTCTGCTCTGTGAGTTACTGTCTGTGGGAGGAAGTCGCAGAGAGAAGGCTCCAACACACTCCTCACAGTTAATGAATATTGTATCACAGTTGGTCTTTTTGACTTTAGGGTTCATTCACTAAGGAGCGATAGGAGTGAACTGATTCATAATTCAGTCTAAAATAGCCAAGCTCTGAGAGTAGGATCATTTTTTTTTCCTAATCCGATCGTTTTTACAATTCAGTTTTTAATTCTTTGTTTTGTGACAAAACCCCCTTGGAATATGTTCCACTCCAACTCATTTCATTTCCAGTCCCCCTCCTATAACCTACGTAGTGCCAATGGGTGTGAGCTATACTTGGTGCTACGCGCTCCTGACACTTCTCACTTTCTCCTACATCAGAAACTCCTATTTACAGACCTATAGTCTTCATTTTGGCAGACATTCCCAACTTTAGTTCCTGCCTCACTATCCCCGGTTTATTTCCTGGTGTCCTGCTTTTGGGGAACCCTGGCACTGTCCCAAAAACTGTCCCACTAAAGTCAAAAAATATTTATTAACTGTGAAAAGTGTGTTGGAGCCTTCTTTCTGTGACTCCCCACCCCATACACTGGAACTCACGGAGCAGACCGCAGCCTTTTGTTGAGTATTTTGTTGTATGGTAGGCAGGCAGCAGGCCAGACCGGTCTACCAGTAATTCGGGGGCACCCACCACCATTTATGGTGGGTTTGGGCGATGCCAATAACAAAGTAATGAAATTATTGTCACTGATCCGTCCCCTTTTACTCCGACCTACCGGTGTACCAATTCACAGGAAGGTGCGGTTGGGAGCTATGTAGTGAAGTGAAAGTCAAATTATAAAACTGAGGCTAAAATAGACAAACTGTGACTATAGCTGCGGAAACTTTTTGCCTAAATATAGGAATTAATGTTTTTGATTTACTACAAGTCGGTTTTTAGTGAATAGACTAATAAACTCTGTAAAGATTGGTAATATGTAACTCCGGATATCTGATGTAATTCCCAGCCTGTGTGTTTGTGCTGTTTTATAATTACACCTCCTCCTCGTCATTTTATTGTTTAGTAAATAAACCTCCTTTACAACGTGTAATCTGACGAGAGCGGTCGACCTGCAGAATGGTAAATACTTTAAAAAAACAAAAACATTTTAAAGGTTAGCACAACCCAAAGGTTAATGCAGAAAATCCACTGATTTTAACAGTCACCAGAGTTTAAAGTGAAAATGTTAGATTTTAGACCCGAATAGATATTTATAGAGCGCTGTCAAATTCCGCAGCGCTTTACAATGGGTGGACGAACAGACATGTAGTTATAACCAGACAAGTTGGACACACAGGAACAGAGGGGTTGAGGGCCCTGCTCAATGAGCTTACATGCTAGAGGGAGTGGGGTAAAATGACACAAAAAAGGTAAGGATAGTATTAGACTAGTGACAGTTGCAGAAGAGGAATCAGTCAGGAGCTATTAACAGTTTAATTGATACGCTTTTTTGAAGAAGTGGGTTTTTAACGATTTTTTGAAGGAGTGGAGACTGGGTGAGCATCTAACGGAGGAGGGAAGTGAGTTCCACAGGAACGGTGCAGCCCTCAAGAAATCTTGAAGGCGAGCATCAGAGGTGGGAGTACGGACAGAAGATAGACGTAAGTCTTCAACAGACCGTAAGGGCCTAGACGGGACACACTTGTGTATACGGGAGGATAGATAGGTGGGAGCAGCATTATGTAGAGATTTGAAAGCAAGAACCAGAATTCTAAATTGAGCTCTATATTTTATAGGAAGCCAATGTAGGGACTGACAGAAGGGTGAGGCATGGGAGGTGCGGGCGGACAGGAAGATGAGCCTCGCCGCCGCATTCATTATGGACTGTAACGGCGCTAGTTGGGAGCACGTAAGACCACTGAGAAGCGGATTACAGTAGTCAAGGCGAGAAAGGACAGTGGAATGGACCAACACCGTAGTCACATGTGGCGTTAAGTAGGGGCGGATGCGTGCAATGTTTTTGAGATGGAAATGACAGGATTTGGCGATAGATTGAACATGAGGCTTGAAGGAGAGGTCAGAGTCAAAGAGAACACCTAGGCAGCGAGCCTGCGTGGTGGAGCTGATGGTAGCACTGTTGACTTGGAGGGAGACAGACACAGGAGTAACAACACTTGAAGGAGGAAAGACCAGAATTTCAGTTTTGGTCAAGTTTAGTTTAAGGAAGTGGGCAGCCATCCTGTTAGAAACAGCAGAGAGGCAGTCAGAGACACTAGTCAAAAGGGACGGGGAGAGATCAGGAGAGGACAGGTAGATTTGCGTGTCATCTTCATAGAAATGATATTGGAAGCCAAAGGAGCTAATGAGTTTACCAAGGGAGGCAGTATAGATGGAGAACAGTAGGGGACCAAGGACTGAACCTTGGGGACACCAACAGAGAGGAGTTGGGGAGAAGAAGCAGAGCCAGAGAAAGAAACACTGAAAGAGCGCTGGAAGAGGTAGGAGGAGCACCAGGAGAGAGCAATATCTTGTAGACCGATATTGCGGAGGATGAGAAGAAGGTGTTGATGATCAACAGTGTCAAAAGCCGCAGACAGGTCAAGGAGAATTAGGATAGAGTAGTGACCACGAGATTTTGCAGCAAGTAGATCATTGGATACTTTGGTCAGTGCCATTTCCACAGAGTGCTTAGCGCTGAAACCAGACTGAAGCAGGTCTAGCAGAGAGTTGGACAGTAGCGAGATAGGACGATAGTTGGATGGGGAGTTAGGGTCAAGATTGGGCTTCTTTAGAATTGGGGTTACAGTTACATAGTTACATAGTTACATAGCTGAAAAGAGACTTGCGTCCATCAAGTTCAGCCTACCTCACATTTGTTTTTTGCTGTTGATCCATGTTTGCATGTTTGAAGGGCAATGGAAATTGATGTGCAAATGATTGCTACTAAAAACTTGCAGAATAATTGTAATTGGTTAACTCAAGACAAGGTGCTGCAGCAACTAAAGAAAGTTAATATAAACAAAGCTCCAGGGCCTGACGGTATCCATCCACGTGTACTTAAGGAACTAAGTGCAGAAATAAGTGAACCTCTGTTTTTAATCTTTCAAGATTCTTTTCTTTCAGGAAGTGTTCTGGAGGATTGGAGGAAGGCAGATATGGTTCCTATATTCAAAAAGGGTTCAAAATCCTTGCCTGGAAATTATAGACCTGTGAGCTTAACTTCTGTGGCTGGTAAAATATTTGAAAGGTTATTTAAAGGACATTATCTCAAGAAATTCCTTGAGAAGAACATGGTTATCAGCAAAAATCAGCACGGTTTTATGAAGCAGAGTCCATACAGATGTTCAAACGGCTACTAGATGCATACTTGCAAGAACAGAATATTCAAGGATATAATCTTTCAATGTAGGGTAATAACTGCTTGATCAAGGATAAATGACTGCCATTCTGGGGTCAAGAAGGAATTTTTTTCCTAGCTTGTTGCAAAATTGTGCTTCAAACTGTTTTTTTTTGCCTTCTTTTGGATCAACAGCAAAAAACAAATGTGAGGTAGGCTGAACTTGATGGACGCAAGTCTCTTTTCAGCTGTGTAACTATGTAACTATGAAATATACCAGAGGAGAGAGAGAGAGAGATTGAGAATTTTAGTGAGAGTTGGAGAAAGAGAAGAAGACAGAGTACGGATGAGATGCAAGGGAATTGGATCTAGGGAGCAGGTGGTGGGGCGGGAGGACTGGAGCAGAGCAGAAACCTCTTCCAATGTAGTGGGTGCGAATGAACATAGAACAGCAGAGGGAGTGAAGTTAGTGAAGTATTGTAAGGGGAAGAATAAAGATGAGACATCTCTTCTCTGATTGTAGAGATCTTGTCAGTGAAGTGAGTTGCAAAGTCTGAGGCGGTCAAGTTAGTAGGTGGAGGAGGAACAGCAGGGCGAAGAAGAGAGTTAAACGTGTGAAATAGTCGTTTGGGTTCGCAGGAGAGTGTGGTTATGAGGGTATTGAAGTAATTAACTTTTGCAGAGGAAAGAGCCAAGCGGTATGAGCTCAGCATAAATTTATAGTGGAGAAAGTCAGATGCACAGTGAGACTTTCTCTAACAGCGTTCAGCAGTTCTGGAGCATTTTTGGAGGTATCGAGTGAGCTTGGTGTGCCAGGGTTGTTGTTGGGGGGGCCTGCGGCATTTAAATGTACACAATGATGTCTAGTTGAGAGGATAGGGTGGAATTGTAGAAGGAGGTTGCAGAACTAGGACAGGTGAGGTTTGAGATAAGTAAAAGGATAGTTTGGAGATTAGTGGAGAAATGCTCTAGGTCAAGACATTGGAAGTTTCTGTGAGAGTGATGTTCAGACGGTGGTGTCAATTGGGTCTTAGGTATGCCAATGTCAAAAGTCAGCAGATGGTGGTCAGATAGAGGAAAAGGAAAATTGGAGAGATTAGAGGCAGTACAGAGGTTGGTGAAGGCAAGATTAAGATTTAGATAAAATCTCCAAGTCAGCTATTTTACCCTACGATGTGAAATTCGCCTCATATTCCATAGAATTCTGTGACACTAAGAATGTCATTAGCATTGCTCGGAAGATGCCCCGCTTGCTCACTGTGTCATTTTGACGGTGATGTTTTCAATAGATACTAAATAACGTTGACAAACAGACATTAACATTTTATACACAGCCATCCAGTGTCATTGCTATCGATCATCACCAACTTGGAATGTAACGCCATAGTCTTTATGATAGATTCTGCCCTGCAGCTTGCCAGGGAGATTGGCATGGCTAATATAATGTGATTAGAGGCATGTCCGGGACATCACCACGCGTTTTACGTTACCTGACTTGCCGATAGCTATTTATACAAGGGGATTGCTCACACAGGACAAGAACAAAGTATTTTGTTTATACAGATATATTTATTAACATTTCCACTGCAATGAAAGTGTTACACCCAGGAAACAAGGATAATAAACAATAATTAATAAATGTGTGTCAATACAGGATGTTTCCCACTGCAGATTTTTATTAAGAATTGTCTGAATAATCTTTGAAAATGCAACTGATAAACAACTTTCTCACAAAGAAAACAACTCCATCATGCTACAGGTTACACTCTGCAAACTGGGAGTTTTATTGCTGTGGAGCTCTGTGATACACTCATACACACCATACATTACTGGGAGCTTTATTGCTGTGGAGCTCTGTGATACACTCATACACACCATACATTACTGGGAGTTTTATTTCTGTGGAGCTCTGTGATACACTCATACACACCATACATTACTGGGAGCTTTATTGCTGTGGAGCTCTGTGATACACTCATACACACCATACATTACTGGGAGTTTTATTTCTGTGGAGCTCTGTGATACACTCAAACACACTATACATTACTGGGAGCGTTATTGCTGTGGAGCTCTGTGATACACTCAGACACAATGAGAAACATCAATAATGGGAAGAATAACAGTAGAATCTGGATCCAAAGAGAGATGGTATCGCCAGTAAATAGGCATCTGACGTCACGGTGGTTGTGGTTTGTGCGTACAATCATGATGCAGTTCATGGAGTCCCTTTGCATTGCAGTGTCTGGAATGATTCTCCCCTGACACAGGCAGCCCTGATTCCCCTGAGAACCTGTAATTATATGTCATTTACCTGTTCTCCTCGGTCACACAGTCCAGAGTGAGGAGCCTGCGTATTGGCTTCACTTGCCTAATAAACCTGAATTTTTTTAATTTAACCCAGAAGTGCAATCAGCCATTACTAACTAATGCAGACTGTTTATCTAACAGAAAGTAAATGTTCACCATTTTCCGATAACATCCTATTTACATCGCGGTAAGGTTGTTGCCATTAAAAATAAAATTGATAATAAATTAATATGTAACGTACATTTTCTTGAAAAACTGCTTCTCTGTATGTACTAATAAGTATACAATTAAATTGAACATTTCCACAATGGAGCTGCAGGTACAACAATGTTTCTTGAAATTCTAATTTATGTACTATATTTTTTTTGTATTTGTTAAGGTTTTTTTTCCCCTAATAAAAAAATAAAAGGTCTTTGAGAATTAAACGTTATTGGCATCTGAGGACAAAACAACATAGCTACATGTCCAAGTGTCACATTGAATATTGGTGACATGCTAGCTAGTGCGAGGGGTAAATAACAGCATTGTCTGTGACAATATTGAAATGACAGCGACCCCCTCCACCGTTAGAGCTCCGAGATCGCATGTGACAGGGGATGTTTGTTTAGGGCATTCAGCGTATTAAATTTTCCACTTAAATGAGGTATGTAAATGCGTGAGGAAGGGTAAGTGGCCGTGTCATGAGCCTTCGAGGTGATAGAGGTTGTTACAAGCTGTGTGTTTGCTGAGACTTGGCAACAATTCATGACACTTATATTTGGACTCCGGCAATGTTTGCAAAAGCAGTTTTATCTGCTTGTGTGATATCACTAATAGTACATACCAAACGCACAGCAATGCCTTAATACAAAAATATATTTCACACCAGGATACAGCGAGTATGGCAATAAATTAATACAAAATGCACATCTCACACCGGGATGGAGTCCGGCAATAACTTAATACAAATTACGTCTCACACCAAATACAGAGAGTACTGCAATACCTTAATACAAAAATACATCTCACCAGGGCCGGACTGACCCACCGGGATACCGGGAAATTTCCCGGTGGGCCGGCACACTAGGGGGCTGGTGCGCGACCGCCTAGTGTGCACCAGCCCGGGCTGCACTTACTGGGTGACCGGCAGGAGGGGATGTGCTCCCTTCCTGCCGGTCACAGAATGTAGCGTGGCCGAGCAGGCAGACCGCGGTAGGGGAGCTTCTGTTGAATGAGAATGCTCCTCCCGCGAGCAGGCAGGTTGGAGCGTTGCCATGCGTTACCATGGCAACGCTCCGACCTGCCTGCTGTTCTCGCGGGAGGAGAGCGAAATCAGCCTCCGGCCAAAGGAGCTGCAGGCTGAACAGCATGCGCCACCACTGGACCACCAGGGATTGAAGAGTAGCCGTTCCCCCTCTCCCCTGACCAAAGGTAAGGGGAGAGGGGGTAAAAAAAAAAGCTTTTTTTTTTTAAATATATCAATGCTATAACCCCCCCATACACACACTACCAACAGCACCCCTCCCCCACCAACAGAACCCCTCCACACACACACAGAACCCCTTCACGCTCTCACAGAACCCCTTCACGCACAGACAGAACCCCTCCACGCACACAGAACCCCTCCACACACACACAGAACCCCTTCACGCACACAGAACCCCTCCACACACAAAC